GTGCCTTCTTAAATATACCTGATTCTGGTTGCAGCTTGACCTAGCTTGGCTCGGTTTGGCCTGGTTCTTACCTTCTCGGTGGACTGTGCGGTACCAAAGAAGATGGGCACGAATGCGAGCCAGACGATGCAGGTTGTGTACATAGTGAAGCCAATTGGTTTTGCTTCGTTGAACGTCTCTGGAACGCCACGGCTCTTCACGGCGTACACCGTACACGTTACCTAACAGCGAAACAAGCAGGATTGATAAAGGTTGCCTAGCAACATCGATGAATCTGTGCTCTATGAGATGGTCGTTGACGTATCTGCTACAGGTCAGTGTGTTACCATGAGAACGATGCTGTAGCTGAGGCAGCAGATGATTGACAAGTCAGACATGTCACACTTGAGGATGCCCCGGGCCAGGTCAGGGTTCGGAGGGCGGAGCTCGTCATAATCGATAATGGTGTGAGGGGGGACGACGCCAAACCACACAAACACACCGAGGACCTGCCGCGCGCACAGAGAACAAAAAGTGGGAATCACGTGAGGAGATGCTATAAGCAGAAACAGGAAGTCATGTGGCGCCTGTGGACTCACCTGGACACAGACGAGGATGAAGGTGATGACCAGCTGGGACGTGGGGCTGATGAATTTGGGCGGGGTCACCGACCTCTTGCCCTGTTCAAAGATGCGGTAGATGCGGTTGGTTTTGGTCAGCATGGCAGAGTAGGTGATGGCCATGCCGAGGCCCAGCAGGAGGCGCCGAAATGCACAAACGACCACACCTGGCTCCGCAATCATCAGGAAGGTGATCAGGTAGATCAGGAAGATACCTGCAGCGAGCGAGAGAGAGGGGTGGGTAGGTGACGGCACCCTCAGAGCTGATCGTCACAGCTGATGATGTAATTACCGATACACACCTGTCAGCAGTACATAGCTGAGCTCCCTCCCTGACGCCCTGACAATGGGCGTGTCATTGAAGCGGATGAAGGTGATAACCACAGCGCTGGTCGCCAGGATACCGAGCATAGCGAGAGAGGCAGGCACTAGGGCCCAGGGAGAGTTCCACTCCAGTTTGATGATGGGAGTGGGACGGCAGGCGGTTCTGTTGGGGACCGGCCGCATGTCTGACGGACAGGTCTCACAGTTAAACTCATCCAGCTGGTACTGATACCCATCACACAGCTGCAGACACGGGAGACAAACTGTTTAGCCTGAAGAACGACTGTCATCGGTTTTAGAAGCACAACGTTCAAGCAATCAGAGAAAAGACAGGTTAGAAGACAAACTCGAATCCAGTGATTGTGCAACACTTGGTGCCAGTGAGGGAAGAAAATCTTTTTAACAGGAAGAAAACTGATGAAGCTTAGTGCTTGAGGGCTTTGCATGTCAGCAGAGTGATGTATATTAAACTGTAGTCAGATTTTGTTGGGACAATAAAAGGAAGCTAATATAGGAGAGACATAGGATTTCTAGTTTCTGCTGCAACTTTTTGCATCAACTGCAGGCTTTCTCTAAGACAGGATGTTCCTAATTTAATAATAGTGCACAGATAAAGCGAAGATGATCTAAACAGCAAATTAATTATAAATTCTCAGAATTCAGATAAAAAGATGCATGCATGCTGCACGTTTACCTCACAGTGCCAGCAGCAAGGAACCCCCTTCACCATCTTCTTCCTTTCTCCTGGGTTACAAGGAAAACTACAGATGGACTCTGGAACGGATCTATCCCCTCCTGACCACTGCATCTCCTCCAGCTACAGACACCCAGGAAGAAAGAGAGAGGCGTACAGCCACACGAAGAAAGACAGAACACTAAAACCCAGCAGGAGTATTTTCATGTTCACTCTTCTTACATTGATTCTCAAATTGTTGGTCCACTGGCCGATGACATGGTAGCCGGGGTGGCTGTGATTGGTCATCTGAAACTGGAAGATATCGTAGCGTCCAGGAGCGTCTCCGTTCTCGTTGAACAAAACACTCGTACCGGCACTTCCTGCGAGACAGACAGGCCGCGTCACCTTTAACAGCTCATCTCCGTGAGGCCACATGTGGCATCTCCACTTTAAGGGGAAACAGCAGCTACACCCAGCTGCACAATAACTACATTATTTGGCTGATAGAAAGCTGGACAAGACAGTTAAAGACCCAACAACTCAGAGTGTAGCTAGTTAGGACACTTATCTAAAAGTTGGTCATTCTCACATGGACGTGGACCTGAGTAAGTAAGTAAGTAAAACTTTATTTATATAGCACCTTTCAAGATAAAAATCACAAAGTGCTTC